CTCGGCCGACCGGAGTGACTTCAGCACTTTGGGCTCGATTGTTTTCAGCTGAGGTTTCTCTGGGTGGCTTCACTTCAAGCTACAACTGAAACTGCCGGAACAGGATTTACTCTGGATTTAAGGACCACAAAGTTGGCTCACAGGGGGAAAAAAAAACTCTCAGCTAAACCAAACAGACGCTTACTCTCAGAGTAGGCCCGCCGGTGAATGTGATATAGGTTGTCTTAAAAAAGCAAAAACTGCACGTCTATGTGCTAAATATTCCTCTTCTCAGGCATCGCCGTCTTTTTTTTTTTTTTTCACACCACCTCCGGCTTCATGTGGAGGCTAACGACAGCTCACATTCCGTCTGATCATAGTTGTGTGTGACATTTCAAAGAGGATTACGAGAATGAAATGTGATAAAAACTATTTCCACGTGACCCCTGAGCACTTGACCTCTGATAGGCTAGTGCCGCGCAGCACCAGGGCTCAGACTTCTGCTGGGACCCGAATGTTGTGCAGAGATCCGTGCAGGGATTTAGCAGCGGACAAGCCGATACGAGGTCATCATCACAATACGAGGGAAGAAAGATCTAATGTGGAGCATTTGGGAGTAAAAAGTATCACCTATAAGGGTTAAAAGTGTTGTCCATCTTTGAGTATACACATGTCTAATCAGTGTTTTTAGGATGATTGTTTTAAGAGAACAAAACATTTAATTCAAACATAAAGCCAGACAGGACTCAACTTTTAGGGGATTGAAAAACTTTGAAGCTAATCAGCCAGAACACAAGACATAATTAGGATTTTAGGGACTCCAATAGATACAAAATAAACTTAAAATTAAAAAAATAAGAATAAAAATAAATTAAAACTAATTGGCTAAACGGTGAAAAGAAAAGGCAAAATTGTAATTATAGACAAAAAGGAAGATTGTATCTGTAAAGACAAAAGCTCAGGGCATCCACTGGGCAAAACAAACACGAGAACTTGACAGTATCAACTTAAAGAAGCGTCCAACATAATATAACTTATGGGAATCTTGAAGAGTTGAAGCTAATGAGCAGATCCGTCATAAGAGCAGCCATGATTTGAATTTTTGGCGTAATCAAGAACATTTAAAATTGAAGGTCGATTGCTCATAAAACAGACATTATTTAAATTTTAGAGAACCAGGAAGATCAAAGTCTCAAAATCAGCTTGTCAGATGTAAAACCAGATCTAATCGTACTTTTACAGAATCAGGAAATCAGAAAGCTTTAAACTTATTTATTTATCGGTTATAAACACATGAATTGAATTTCTTAGGAGATCAGGAAAAGAACAATTAAAACTTGAAATGACTTAGGGGTTCAGAAAGACAATTAAAAAAACGTAAAGCTAATTGACTAATGGGTTATAAAACCAGACATAATTTAAATTTTAGAGAAAACTACAAGACTGAAAATGTAATTTAAAAATATAAATTAGCTCATTGCTAACTCTGGTGCAGCTAACTGGCTGTACACTGTCCCTGTTAAAATAAACCAAAAACATAAAAAAAAACATGTTTTAAAAAGTTGAAGCTACAACCAACGTTGCATAACCTTCAAGCCTAAGCAAAGATCCACAAATTGCAAGATAATCACAATGACTGAAACATAAAACATGAGTTTGATTAAAACAGACATATCATTTGATTTTAGGGAATCAGGAAGAAGAAAAACATAAAGCTACACGGCAAATGAAGCCAATCATTTTTTTTATCGGGGGAGGGATAGGGGGGTGTCAGGAAAATGTGTTACATACTGTAATGCTGTTTGGCCATAAGAACAGGAGTCATTTAAATTTAAGGGACTCAGAAGCTCAAAGTCTTAAAATCAGGTTATGAGACGTAAAACCAGATCAAAAAAAGACAGAAATCCAGAAAACAACAACTTAAACTTCTTAGTGAATTGGTCAGAAAACCAGACATGATATCAACATTTTAGAAAGATGAGAAAAAGGGCAACGCCGATCTGTTATACAAGCAGACAGGACTCAAAATGTTGAGGTATCAGACTGAAGAAAACTTTAAACTCACTCGAGTAATCGCTCATGAAAGCAGACGTGAATTCAGTTTTGGTAAAATAAAATAAAAAACCTTACAGCTTAAGAGTCATAAAGCAGATATAATATAACTTTAAAAAAAAAAACTTACAGCTTATTAGCTAATCACAAAAACAGACAGAATGTAGCATCAGGGAGATCAAATGCTAATCATTTATAAAACCAGACATGATTCCAAACAAATATTATTGGATCAGAACAAAGAAAAACATAAAAGCTTTACTCAGCTAATCAGTCATGAATCCAGACATGTTGAATCATACATCATGAACTCTTATTATGTTTTTGTATTTGATTTATTCTATGTTTTGCTTCGTCTCTATCTGGATGTTTTGTCTGCAATGAAGTTTGATTTGAATTTAAAAAACATCAAGCATGGCCGTCGATTAAATACCTCTAATGTCTCGTTGTGTGTTTGTTCCTCGTGGCCAACACAAACAGCGTTATGTGCCTGAACATGTTGACAAAGCTTCCACGGCTCATTGCTGCGTGATGGATGGCCGTGTGTGCCATGCTAATTATTAGTACACATAAAAGGATGCTGTTATTTTGCAGAGCGGGCCCAGCAGGTCCCAGCCGGAGGGGTCAGCGGGTAAATACCGAGCCATCAGTCTGCGACCATATCACTCAATCTTGATGTATGAGCTCAGAGGTACAAATTAAACGCGCGGCGACCTTCTAGAAGGGGAGGGGGTACTGCACTCAACAGGACGCCATTTGGGCTAATTCCTGCACGGGGTTCAGACAATAGGCCACTATACCACATGGTGTAATTAGTTTGTATACACACATCTGGAATAAAGCTCCCAGAGGAGGCTCACACACTTAAAAAAAAAGAAGCAAACTATTTTAGATGTACAAAATGTATTATGTGTGGACAAACAAGTGGCAATAGTTCATTTTGTTCTGAAAGCAACGCAGAACAAACTCTATTGTGCTTTACTTTAACACACTGTGAGGAGTCTTCACTTGATATGAAACAGACTGAACATAGAACAGAAGCTTCTAAACGACTTCAAGAAGCAAAAAGAAAGAACAGGAAGAATTTTGGTTATTTTCACCAGTCAACGCCGACACCAAAAAGTGCTAGCTTGCTGCTGAAAGAGGCTTTGTTTTTATTTTCTACAGGAAAGTTTAACAGTAAGTGGTGTGTGAGCCCATACGCACGCATGCAGGACAGGCTTCAAAAAGGGTAAGACGCACCAGTTGGTCCCCATCGGCCACCAATAATCATCACACTTGAAGTTCCTCATTGTGGAATCCCTGAGTCGACATAAATCCTTAAACTTCATTTTACTGTATTTTCATGTGATATAAGAAGTATTTTCTGGTGGTTTTCTTGAGATAACTAACTAAAATATGTTCCTTAAAGCGTCAACTTCTTCTTCTTCTTTTGGTATCTTGGGATAATAACGCCGCTATCCCGTGATAACGCGTACATTTCTCGAGGTCTGGAAAAAACAGCTGACATGAACTTGTTATTGCGGGAAAACGGATACATGTCCTTTTTGGGATCTTGTCCCTCACTGTTGCTGTAAGTTAATTTTTTAGTGATCTATTCCTTTTTATTGTTTCAACTTTTAACCCCTATTTTTTAACACCAGTATCTGTACTTTCTACACCTACCAGTGTGAGAACACAGCGATAACTGACAACCCCTCTAAAAGTATTCAAGGCAATTCATCCCCAAAAAAAGTCTTGCATTATAACATATCGCATTTCCCAACATCAACACAGATTTCAACCTAAATGTTGAGGCCAATAACATACAGAAAAAGACGACCCTTTGGTGTATTTATCAGTGTATATCACACACAACCACTGACATACTGAGGCATAAACGACATTCAAAATTATACCAAGAGCAAAAGACAAGGTAGCAAATCTTCAGAACTCGCAGGACGACATTCAACCAGCAAACACTTGAAACAAAGTCAATGCAGATTCAGTGCAGATTCAGATTTTTAACACGGTTTGCTGCTTATTTGAGTGTACTGTTTCTCATTTATTTGACACAAGAGTGATTCTAATATTCCCCAAAATATAGAACTTAAATTTTGTTAGCTTAGCATACAAACAGCAGGTAGAAACGTCCTTTACCATCAGAGGGACTTGTTTTGTTGTTGCTGTGAGTACATTTCAAAGACTGAACTTTTCACCTTCTCTGCAGTAAAGAAGTTGAATCGGTACTTTTGATTTGATTTTTACAGCAGTGTCTGTGCATCCACTTATGAAGGGGATGTGTGTTGCTGTATTGGTGTTTGTGTGTGGCAGTGGAGGAGGGGCAGACTCGAGATGTAGTTGCAGATGAACAAGCGCTAACTTTTGACCTCCTCATGTCATCGTCTCAAAGTTAATCATCGCCGTGGAAACAGGGAGAAAAGATCCTCTGTGAGTGCCGAGCTCACTGAAGATTACATGTCATAAATAGAGAATCCCGCAAATCTCTGCTGTGTTTTCCCTCCACACTTACAGGCCTCCCACTCCGGTTACAGCCATCTTGCTCCTATTTGACGACGTTAACACGGCCCCACTTTCCATACCAATCCGATCTGTGTCATTTTGACGAACACAGGCAGAGATACGGACCGTGTAGGGGGGCGACGGGTTCTGGCTGCATCTGGATTTTATAGCAGCTCAATTTTGCGCGCTGGTGTGCGGCTGAGATTGGATGTGATGAGCCGGGTTTGTGTGCGGGAATGTCAACCAAAGACTGATATTGATATTGATCCACAGGTTGAAGCAGTTGCTGAGATTCAGCTACGACACGGTATGAGAGGCAGAGAAAGAATCTGCATCAAGTGACTCAGTATTATCTCGGACATATGGTTATTTCTTTTTCTTTTGGTGTGCATGCTAAAGACAATATGTTTCCAGAGAAGCGTTGCATTTCTTCGTGCATGAGCTGTAAAAGCACCGTAAAACTCGAGTACAAATATTTATAACTTTATTGATAGTTTACTTGTACAAGATGTACATTCATATTTTGTGAATCAAAAAGGGGGGAAAAACAAACGGTACGATGATCCATGTTCAGGCATGCTTGCATATGAAATGAGAATCATTTTAATGGGTACAACAAATTCCATGGAGTATTGTTCAATTCAACCATCCCTGAAATGTTTGTAAACTCGGACACGCTACTTCTTTTTTTTCTTTTTTTCCTTTAGGCAGACGATGCACTACAGCCACACCTCCTAATTCAAATTGAACACTTGAAAAAAAAAAAAAAAAAAAACATACAAAAATAAATGCAAAGCCATATAAAAATGTACACTTGTAGTTCGACTATTTCATCTTTCATAGACTTTCAGACAAAATAATAAATAAAACACCAATATGTTTAATTTAAAATGGAGACATATAGATAAACGGTTCTAAATGGAGGTCTGATAACAGAGAAAATGCTTCTTCTTTTTTTTTTGGGAGACTGTTAGAGGTACAGATCGACATGTGTGGCGCAGCTCTTACAGCAGTGTCCAAAAGGCTTTCCTAAACAATCCTTGAAGTCTAACACAATCCAAATGCTCGCTTTTGTCTGGATTAAATTTGGAAGGAACAGAATCATTTTGAAAAAAAATTATGGTGAAAAGTCACATTTAACATGCAGAATTAAGCTTTTGATAATGTAAACAACCGCTTGTTTTTGGGTTACAAGGCTGATTTTGATTTGATTTTGAAAACTACCCACCATTCAAAAAATAGTTTTTCTCTCATGTGATGTTTCAAACCCCAACCGCTATTTCTGCAGCATCGAAAAAAATGTGCTCATGTCGTCCTCATCATTTGTACCTGATGTACACAAAACTGCTTACAGGATATGGCACCTTAAAATAATGAGTGACTTTTCTCCAACTCAATAAAATACACACTGCTGTAGAAAAACGGGTGTGTTTGGCAAAGAACTTCAACACTCTCAACAGTGCATGAAAAAAAAACAACAAATGAAAAATCATCGGGTCTCTTTATCGTTGAGGATTAACTGCTAGCTGTTTTTTTTTTTCCTACTTTTTTTTTGCTATTTACAGTATTGCACTTAAACTGCACACCATTGCATTTCAGTTTGACTGATGCTTTCTTCATATTTTTCAGAATTACAAAGAAAAAAAAAAGAAAGAAAGGAGAGAAAAAACAAAACGTTTTTTTATACCCTTTATCCAAGATAATGTCCTTTTTGCGGATCACATGACAATATCAAACCCCGCCCTCTTCCCCTGTTTTTTTTTTTTTTTAATTAGTAAAGTAGTATCTGCTTGTAGTGCCATTTGTAAAACACCCACCTACAAGACCCTGAAGTGCAAAGGCTATCTTCACTTCTTTACCCGGGATACAACACAAAAAAGAGAAAGAAATAAAGACAGATAGAGGAGGGGGAGAGCGTTTCTCCATTCTGCAGCAAAGGAACAATAAAGTTGTCGCTTTTGTTTAAGCACAAGTCCATAAGAAGGAGGGGAATCAAACCGTGATGGCGAGCATTGTCTTTGCAGGAGGGGTTGTGGGCATGGAGAACGGCAGTGTTAAAAACAGTTGTTTATATCAGGTGTGGTCCTCCGTTAGAGTTCATGCACTCTGCAGCAGCAGGGAACACAGTGGTTGGAGACAAATATGGCCGTTTTTTAATGTGTTTTTTTGTTTGTTTTAAAAGTGAAGGTGGGGAGGGGGAGAGAGAGAGAGGGGAATGGGGTTGTAAAGGTGAGAGTCCTTCCATAGCCTCCGTGTGTCAGTTTCCACAAAAATGTTCAACCCCCCTCCGCACTGTCAACATGGCAGCAGACCTCAGCGGCGGAGGCTCTGCTTTTTTGGCCCTGCTGCTTCTGCCTGCCCGTTTGCTTTGCTAACGTCCTCTGCTCTGCCGGGGGCCCCGGACCCGGCCCTCAGACAGACATCCACATGTGTTTGTACGGTCCTTGGGATGTGATCTGTGCCTGGAGTGGACTGAGCCACTGGCCCCGCAGAAGTCCTGCCTGTTGGGGCGAAAAGTAAAAGGTGATTTCATTGGTATTTAATTACCGTTTCTCTACAAGTGGTTTGTTTTGGCAGCTGGTTTTGTGACAATTTTCTCGCTCCCCTCCTTCTTTTTTTTTTTTTTCTCTTATTTTCTTCCTCCCCCCTCTCTCTCTCACTCACTCTCTCTCCCCCTCTCTCTCTCTCTCTCTGTATGTGTTCCTCTCTTTCATTCTCACTTCTCAGTGTTTTTGTTTAGTTTAGTTTTAGCTGTGAGTGTCACGGCCCTTTCACAGGCTCAGTCTTGTGTGAGAGGCGATTATGGGCATCAGGCGAGCGGAGGGGCGGCCCGGTTGGGGGTCAGAGTCCCAGAGCCTCGGCGTGTTTTCTTGCCTTGAGTCGCAGGTCGGCGATGCTCGAGTTCTTGCTGTTGCTTTTGGCAGCTGCCGCCACCGCCGCCGCCGCCGAGGCCGAGTCGGCGAGGGATGCGATTGGTAGTCCGAAGGGAGGGGGCGGGAACATCAGGTAGGGAGCGTGAGCAGCCAGGTGAGGATGCAGGTGGGGGTGGGAGTGGGCGACGCCGTCCAACTGGAGCTGGGCTTGGACCTGCAGGACGGGAAAACACAACGTCAGCCAGGCCTCTTGTGTGTGTGTGTGAACGTGTGTGTGTGTGAGGATTTAGGTTTCACAGTCTGACACTATTAAACTCCCCCTCAAATGTTACCTCCTCGGAGCTGTTGCTTACTCTGTGTTTTCTAAGAAAATAGTTAAGGCTGCACTCTGCGCTTTAGCCCTTTTTTTCATGTCAGCTATTCTAAAAGTTAATGAATCATACATTGCTCTCAGACACCACATCCAATTTAATCGTCCAGAATCAAAGTGTTTCTAGGACCCAGAACAGATTTGTTTAATTCAGACTGAGAACTCGCTTATACCCTTGGAAATATGCGAGTCTTGTTATCCTGATTATGTATTCAATTGCATAAATAAACAATTTTGCACTAAAAAGATATTCACATATTTGGAGTTATAAATATTTATCCAGACATATTCCTGAGTCGACTGGGGGTGGAGGGGGAGGGGGGGGGAGGGAACCATAAGGAGCATAGAATATCAGTTTTCACATTCTTGGCAATTATTTTATAAGAAGTAGGTGAAAATTAAGCATCCAGTAACTTCAGAGGGAGCGCGCTGAGCCTGTTGCCATTCCTCATGTGTTTCAAACACCGCAGGAAGAAGTGGGGGAAAGTGTTCGCGCTTTCTACTCCAACCAAAATAGAACCACTCACAGTCGAAGTTTTAACTCCGCTTAATATTATTTTTCTCGCTTTGCCTCCGAAAATATACTGAAAATGACTCATGTTGAAGTTGTTCAATAAAAGCGGAAAATTGACTTGAACTGCAGATTTGAAGTTGCTCAGCAGCATCCACAAGCACGACCAAGCAAACATTCCGATACATCTCCTTTTAGGAACACTCAGGTAACAGACTGCAGGGAGGTCCCATTACTTCAAAATGTTAATTAGTGACATTACATCCTATTCAAATGCAGAAGCACTGATGGAAAACTATAAATTAACTTCTTAAACCTTGTGGCAGAAACTGATCCGTCCCTGACAGAACAGGTGGTGGATGTTTGACGTTACATTAGGGTGTGTGTATCATGATTATATCCTCACACACACACACATGTACATAAGTTGGACACACACGTGTGCACTTATAGCGTGCGTTAGCTGGTGTTTATAAAGTTATCACTGCAGGTTTACTTTGCTGCTTAGTTTAAACTTGATCAAGATTAAAAGAACGACATGACAGTAAGATTTGAGGCCAGATTCAAAGCTCTACTTTGCAGAAATAACTGGTGCACCCTGGCCAGCATAACCAGTATCTATTGACTTGTTTCACAGGCGGCATTGTGATACCAGTGCAGTATTCCAACCTCAAACAGCACTCCTATCTCGGTATGCAGGCCTTGAGCCTCCACCCCTGCCAGCACAGCTCAACGCCAATATCCATCAGAGCCCACTCCATTCCCCCCGCTTTCATCATCTCTTTTATGTGCTCGCGCCTGCCCGCCGCACTGTTGGCTTAATTAGGCCGCTGCTTTTTTTTTTTTTTCCACGATGGGGTCAGGCAAGACAACACAGCAGCCGGGGACGCAGAGGCAGATAGCAGCGGATCAGATGTCTGTCCACCTCTCCGACCCTCTCGTCTCCTCCGCACGCAGCCACGAGGTGAAAGGTGCAGCGAGGTATGACTGCTCCCTCCCCTCCTCCAACACACACAGCCTCTCATCTCACACATATTAGAGCTGCATATAGTAAGCTCATGTGTGCAATTAAAGAAGGCCCACTTTGAGTCCAACACAAGAAACATACACACATGCAGCTACAATCTGGAGCATCTTTGACCTCTTCCTATAGTTTTTTTTTTTTGCTGAGTAATCATCTTTTTCTGCAACTAAGCCTGCATTTTTCACTCTTTTTCTTGATTTAATTGGTTGGTTTGTATTCCAACACAGAGTGTGTTTCTATTCTTTTAAAAGCTTTGTGAGTTCCTGAAAATGCGAAAAATATCATTCCTACCTGTTGGAAGGGCATCCGCAGGGCGCCCATGTTGACATAGGGTGCTACTCTGCACGCGTCGAGGTGACTGCCTGAGCCCAGAATAACACCTGGAGAGAAGGGAAAGATGTCTGTCAGACAGCCAGACAGTTGTTGTTATGTGAGATGAGGAGGTCAGAGGTTTTTTTGTTGTTTTTTTTAACACATGCTGTTAAAATAATATTGTCAAATTTGAAAACTAGAAGTAGTAAAAAGAAAAATAGAGGAAAATAAATAAAATCATCCAACAGAGTATACAAAAGTGGGATTTGTTTACCTTTGTGCATCTGGTTTTCTTGTTTTCGACATTTTGCTCTTCTGTTCTGAAACCAGACCTAGAAATGAAAAAAAATACATCCATGAGAAAAAATCCAAGAAACGTCTGAAAACACATTTTTTAAATGTTGCCAATAATTATCTTTTTTTAAATCATTTTTAAAAAGTTGTTATCGATGTTATAACAAGTTATTAAAGAGGCCACTTATTCTTCATATAAAGAGGAAAACATGGATAGTTTATATGCTACATATGATCAGCAGCTGTATGTAGCTTTTCTTGCAAATACATTGCAGATTGTTTAAGAAAAATTACAGAAGGCTGAAAATGTAAAAGTTTGTTTGCCTGAAATTGAATGAAAATAAACCCCCAAAAACACACACACACACACACACACACACACCACTAAAAAGGAAAATCGCAATAAAACCATATAAAAGTGATTCAACCTCGGAAGTGTAATTCAGATGCACATTCAGGCCATGTAATTATAATAAAATGCAGTAAATGACTACAAACACTGCACCTAGTAAGCAAACAGAGCCTATCATACCGAGAGGGATAATTGATTATCAGAAAACTGTGATGATGTGTCGCCATGGTATTTAAAAAAGAAGAGAGAGAAGCCTTTGGTTAAGCAGCCTCCAATTTGTGTGCGTCTTTGAAGCTGCAGGCTGCAGGCTACGTCCTATTGTTAATCATCATCATCAAGCTAATTTGCTCGGTGAATAACATTATCTCCCCTCCCCTTCGACCCCGCAATGATTATCATTTACAGACGCGAAATTAGCGGCTGGTCGCGGACCACAAAGGGCGCACACTGATGATGATAATGATGATGATGAGTCAAGGTGCCGCGCGTGGAGCCATTTTGGAGCTGCGTGGATCGACGGGCAACATTTGTGTCGATGTAATAACAGGAGGGTCGATACACTGTCCATTAGAGACAAGCCAAAGAGGAAGAAAAAGTCATGTGGCAATTCCAATCTTTTGTTTTATGTGTCGAAAGATGACGTTAAAAAAAACTATTTTATACAAAAATCCCGAAATAGCAGTGTCGTAGTAAATAGACTGCAGCGCAACAAATGACACATAAAGGAATATTTCAACGAAAAAATGAGACATTGGCTTGAGGAATATTAAAACGACTACATGAAAAGTTATGGAATATGTTCCATTTAAATTGAGACGTTATGAGAAATGTTAAAACAAAATTAGACATGACATTATATCTATATTTATTTATTTATTTGGGGGGGGGACTAGCTGTTTAGAAATATTTTCAGAATAAAAGAAACGTTAATTAATATATTCTCACAAAAATGTGACTTAAAGAATTGTCACAATAAAATGAGACTTTATGGAATATTTTTACAATAGGAAAGTTACAAATAAATGTTACAATTAAATTAATATTATGTTATGCACTTATTATTTATCATTATTATTATTATTTAATGAAGACAGGCTTTGAATGGTCCTGAATGGGGTGTGTAACACACCTTGTGTTAGCACCTGTACAGCGGTGTAACATGGTAGAAAAGGTGTATATGAGAATCCCAGGTGATTTTGCATAGACGCACAGTAATCCCTCAGATAAATCAAGGCTAATATTAGACGGGCCCGGGATCAATTCCAATTACGCGCCAGTATGTTAAGCAAAGTGAACTACACTGGTTCAGACAGTTATTTCTTCATTAAGGGCCACTCAATGATGCGCTTCACAAATACCCTAATCTCATTTCCTTTTTGATTTTTTAATAGAGACAGTGAATAATGACATTTAATTTAGCAGCGCGCCAGAAACCCAAAGATATTAGTCGTAACTGAATTACTGCCTGCTCCTCACCAGGCTCTCATAACTTTCAATTAGATTCATTGACAGCTGCTCGAAGCGCGTGCAGGTTTCTCTGCCTGCAAGAGCCCTGCTGCGATTCACTGTCTCCAAATGTGCAGGAAAACAGGACAAAGTGACGTAAAGAAAGTGATTCTAAACGAGATTTTGCGTTTCAAGGAGAGAAAACCAACTAGTTCTGTGTTTTTTCAAAACGTTAAAACCAAAACATTTTGTTGACTTTTTAGTCGCCTAAACCTTCCACTCCCTAAATTAACTTTATTGGTAATAGTTGCAACATTATCACCTTCTTCTGACAATGTTCAGCTGCAAATATAGTCTCCATGATGGGTTGTATTTATCCGATTAGAAAGCTGAACAGCAGCAGAGTTGGGCCAGAATCGAGTTATTTCTAATCTGTTTTTATGGGGGACACTGCATCAAGCCAATGGCAGATATTACAAAGAAAATGAGGAGGGATCCGAGTTGACATAAGAGCGCGTCCCCTGAAGCAGCCATTCAGGCTCTTCATTCATTTTAATCATTGCTTTGGATTTTTTTTTCTCCCTCTTCTTCTTCCCTGAAGGCTGCTGGGATCGGAGGAGTGTTTTGGCTGTGCAGGCCTGCAGCTGCAAGTTCACGAGGCTGTTACGTCCCGCGTGATTTACAGCAGTTTACACTTGTTTGATATCACTGACTGACTCACTACTACCAAAAAAATAAAGTTTAAAAGTGTAGATAATCAGTTGTTTTATATATTGATTATACCATCAAAGCAGGCACTGCTAAATTTAGTTAAACATACAGTTTACATATGAATTAATTCTAATCTGCAAGCCTATTAATCCTTAAATATATATCCTACATAAATAATCCTGCAGATTATATCAACCGAGTTTTTTAAGCAATCATAGAAAAGTTGTACAGCCTCCTACATGAATATAACACACCACAAGGAATACAATAAAATGACGAATAATTCACGATGGACTGCCACAGACACTCCACAAAGTCCCTGAGGAATAGTACAAGAATATTTTAGACATCATTTATCTCTCAGGCTGGTGAGGTCATCCTGCCTGCAGACTCGTGAGCTCTTGACTTTTTTGTTTTTGTTTTGTATGTGGCGGGGCAAAAAAACACACAATGATCTCTTAATAGCACAAAAACATTGGGGGGGAAAATAAACCTGTCACGTCCTTTTTCTTTCTTCTTTTTTTTTTTCACGAGCTTGAAAACACGTCCAGCGTGCAGGTCAAACTCTGCAAACTGCATGAAAACTACACTGAAAATGTCTGCACCGTCGTTAAGCACAATAACAGTTTAAATATATTTTAAAATGCTAATTATTGTCACAAAAATCTTTTCAATTTTTGTCCGAAATATATGCAATATTGTTAGACTTAATTATGGAGCATAAACCAAAGGCCGAATCAGATAATTAACACAACCCAGATTTCACGTTTATGCCAGTTAGACATTTATACACACCTGCTTTAAAAGCCACACGACATAAAACGTCTCATAAAAATCCTAAATGCAAATAAAGGCAGCAAATACTACGAGGACATTATGAAGTCCTCAGACAGTTCCTGCACTTTTAGGAGAAAAACACACCGCAGCCTGCATCTTGTTTGTTGTTCACACAGCAGCCCCCCGGTTGTAATGATCGTTATGAATAGAATCAGCGCAAAGAGAAAGACTAGAAAGAAAGGAAGAGTTCCTGACCTGCACCCTGGCCTCGGACAGCCCCAGCCGCTGGCTCAGCTCCTCTCTCATGAACGCGTCCGGGTAGTGCGTCTCGTCGAACAGCCGCTCCAGCTCGTTCAGCTGCTCCAACGTGAAGTTCGTGCGACTCCTCCGCTGCTTCAGTTTGCCCTGTGCGTCCTCGTCCTCGGACTTCACGTCCTCCTTCTTGTCCTTACACTCGTAAATCCCTATTACACGGCCCACGAGTTAAAGGAAAGACAGGTGGTAAGTAAACGTCTTCGAGGAGATACATAAACATCCACACATAGCCTACATCATTGTGCCCTAACATACCCCACACTGGGCCCTCTTTTGGGGGCCTAGATCCCGGTAATTTGGCAGCACACACACACACACACACACACACACACACAGAGAGACACACACACACACACACACACACACATTACGCAGCCGCTTTCTTCAGTAGAGAGAGGCCTGTGGCTGCATTTCCAGCCTCCATAAGTCTTAATGTAATGTCAGTGCCGCTGCAGAGGTAAATCAGTCAACGCATGGCATGTAAGCCTAATAAGGTTATAGGCGATTTAAAGAGCAGCGAATTAAGCCCGGGATAAACGGAAGAGATTTAGGTCTAATTACTGGCCTCTGTATAAAAAAAAGACACACTGAGGATATATTAGGCTTTATATTAATAACATCAGTCTTAACATTTTAATCCATCAGAGGTCTTTCGATTTATTTTGAAACCTTAAACTATATGAATCTCAGTTTTCAGTTCAGAGTTAAATACAAAGCTGCCAGTAAACTAGCCCAATGGTTAGCCAGTGTGTTTTATTATTCTATAATGCACTATTAGGTGTGTTCTAGTGTGTTTATTTTTAGTAACACACTTGACAACTGATGCAGGTACATTACTGCCTTGTTTGGACATATTTAGTGTTTGTTGTTTTCTAACATGAAGGTGTTTTTATCCTTAGTTTAGTTATTTCACATTTTTATATTATATACTACTATGCAGGGTGTTAATTAAATGAATAACTATACACACAGAACAAGCCTTTATCTTATAATTACTAAAGGATAATTATGCTTTATCCTGAGTCTTTTCTCTCTCTCTCTCTCCTGCTGCAGGATCAATAAAGGAACAAGTTAAAAGTACTCACTAAATGTCTACAACTCTGCACACTTTAGACTATCTGACTGCTGACGGAACAGAGGCCTGGTCTGCTTTTTTACTGGACTTTTAAACAACCCATTAATAACAGCTATTATTTTACTAACAGTGTGTTAAATGGCTGTTTTCTTCTTTTAAATGAATTGAACACTGAACAAAATAAGACGAGCACAATGCAGGAGAATTACAGCCGTGCTCACTGTGTGTAAACATCAGAATGAAATAGCAATTCAACTTTTTTAATAATGCCAAATATCCTTCCTTACATTTGATCAATCAGTAATATTTCACATAAAACTGTGAGGGATAAAAGAAAATGGGGCGAGGGGAGACTGCATTACACCTTACAGTGCAACATCTCGGATTATTATTATAGTCGGCAAATGTTTTCTTAAAAAAAAGAAAAAACATCGAACGAGACAGCCCAAGAATAAAAGATAATTATGTTGTAAAATTGTCAATAAATGCCACGATGGATTTTTGTTGTGCGTAAAACTGGATGTGTGAAAACAATGATCCCAGAGTTAGAGGGACGTTCGGACGACAGAGGAAAGGCCCACCTCCTGCGTTCTCTCACAAAACATTTTAACAACAGATTGGTGTTCTGACTTTAGAAATTAGCTCAAACCAAACCTCTGATATAATAAAACATATTTCACTTGTAGATTTTCGGTGGATTTACTAAAAACTAAATCCGCCGCTCCCGATACAAAACATGTGAACTTGAGACATTTCCCCCCCCGATACAAATACGGATCATTTCTTCAAATTCAAAACAAAACGCCCTTACCGTCTGTCGCCCGGGAAACATTAAAGTCCTTCAGTTTCTCCTTTTCCAGCTCGACATGGTCCTTGAACAGATGCACCGGGCAGCCATCCGTTATGTCCTGCAGGTTCGAGTCGGGGCTGCCCAGCTCCCGCGCCCTCGTCAAGCCGCTCTCCAAAACTTCCCTGTACGTGATACTCTCTTTGCTGCTCTCCTTGGTTTTCTGATCGAAAGATTTCGACACGAATGCCGTAAGTTCTTCCATGGCTCTGGGCTCTAGGCAGCTCAGTAGTGGTCCAGCTCCTGGAAATCCACCGTGAAGTCTCAGTATAAAGTACCTCGCCGTGTCTATAAGGTACCAGCTCTGCAAGCGGATGTATGCGCTCGTTTTTTGTTTTTTTTTTGGAGGCTGGCAGCAGCAGCGATAGACAGGAGAGGGGTGGAGAGGAGGTGAGATCACTCCTGCTGTTGTGACTGTGTATTTGAGAGCACACTATTTATACACGGCCACCTCAAACCCAGCCCCCCCACCCCCACACCAACCCATACCCCCCTCTTCGCTCCGATCTCTGTGTCTTGAGCAATTACAGGCCGCCTCGACTTTGCAGAATTCAACTTTCAGCAGCTTTTTTTTTTTTTCTTCTTCTTTTTTCTTCTTCTGCTACAAATCAATGCTGGAGCTGATGGAGGCGGTTAATTGAATTACGGGGTCATTAAAATGCCCGCGGTGGCTCACTCCTGCGAGGAGGAGGCGGCTGTAATGTATGGCTGTTATGCCTAATTAAATCGGCGAAAATTTAATCAACGCGATTATAAGACGGAGATACAAATGCTGGGTTTGAGGGATTGCCCCTTGATTTTTTTCTTTTTTTCCTTTTCTTTTTTGAGTTGACAAATATGTTTGAAAGCTAATCTGTGCTCCATAAGCCACCTCTAACCTCTGGTGTATCAGCTGATTGGACTTTTCTCTAATGTGGAGTTAGTGCACATGCAAGGAGAGGTCCAGCAAAACCAAATTAGAATGTAAAAGTTATTTATTTTAAGACCAAACATGATGCTCAGCGAGCCTGAATATTTTTTTTTTTTTGTAGAAAAAATATTTTTCATTCAAGTTCAGTTAATTCCAGTCACATTTAATTAAGTGCTAATTGTTTGTTCTTAGAATTAAGCAGGGGAAATTCAAATTTCTTCAATTTTTTCAGTTATTTTCAGTTTTACATGACTTGAAAATATTCCACAAAAATCGACATGCAAACTTGAAATCATGAGGGGGAACAACCCCAACCCTTTGTTTACCATTATTAATTTTTGAGGAGGAAAAGTCTGATTTATTGCTTCTTTATAAGTTATTGTAGCGCTCTTCCTCCTCCTGTTAACAAGTATTTTCACAAAAACACTCAATCATAACTCAAAAATAATGATGCAAACGTCCAGTATTTTAAAAAAAACCAACAAATTTATAATCATACTATTATACTGTAATAAATATTTAACTCCGATAAATTTGGCTCTCCTCTGAGTATTCACTTGTACTCCTTTGTGGCTTCCGGTTACAAATATGAGCAACAAATCAATAGATATCAGCAGTGAAAAAATGTTCCCTCTATTTACAGGCGCTTCATGGGAATAAGTGAGCCCATAATGGCTTCACGTTATCTCAGCCGTTCATCAGTCCAGCACACAAACACAAAAGGCCGCGAGAGGAGCCGGATCCCCAGGGTCTCTCGCCCTGAGCGGCCCGCCACAGTGAAAGTCTCATATCTCAGCCCTCTAATGACTCGGTTTGATGTCTCTCCATTTATCAGCGCGCGCGCTTCACATCGCTGCGGCTCACTCACAAGTCGAGGTCTCTCCCTCGTGCCATGAACTGCGCCTTTTGTTGTTAATAGACCTAAATCCTCTTTAAGACGCAAATCTGCGCTCCCTGTCGTGTGTCTCGGTATCATCCTACAATAAAAGTGGCGTTTACAAATGGGGCACGTGCGTGTAACGAATAATCCAACCACAGGGGCTCCCTTAATATAAAATTAGTGGAAAGATGTCACTTTTACGCACAATCATCCCACGTTATGATCTTAAATGTGGAGTATTTATCTTCATTTGGACATTTTAATGCGTCATTTGAAATAAACCAGTGTTAAATATGACAGCATGTGCACGTGCAGAAAAGAAAACCAGAATGTGACACTCTTGTGAAATGGTGTAAATATTTTTTTTATATTGCATTCTTTGTTAGGAAATAATTGTATTAATTTTAAGTATTGTGTTTAGAACGGTGCATCCGTAAGACTGGAGCTCATTTCAAATTCTTCAGTGCAACAAAATATTCATCCAGCATAATAAAGCAAAAACATATCGCCAGAAGGCCCATAGGCAGTGCATGTTTAATATGAATGACGAACAGAGTGCCCAATTAAAATGGGACAACGTATTACACACTGTTTTTCATTCCTTTAATTTCTCCTTTAATTTGTATTTTATTATATTTATAGCAGAAGTAAAGTAAGAGTCGATTTTCAGTTGTTTTTTAAGATAAAAAAATAATAATTGAACGTAATCTCATGGATTTGAAGCACGTGGTGTCCAATCAGCAGCAGCCTGGAGGAAAATCAGAAGAGATCCAGGAGGGATGCTCTTTACGCAGCGACGCTGCTGTCGCTAACTGTTCAAAACTCTTAAAGGGGCCTCAATCATATTTTCAGTTGCAGCTCACTCCGCGCGAGCACAACACCCCGCCTCCCCTGCTGCACGTGCCATCCCGCAGAAAAGCATGCTATTTTTAATTATTCAGTTGTTTATTTACTAAGTGTGTTCTTGTTGTGATTACAGTGTCAGACCAGGGAAACAGTGTGCACTTATACACACATTTTCCAAGCAAATTTAAAGTATAATAATATTTATATAATTTTAAATTAGAGTCATAATTATTGCACTTTTATTACACACTAATGCAATTCAGTCACAATCATAGTAAGGGTTTATTTGATTTATTGTACCTATCATTTTGAAATGGAACATTTTATTATTCAATGTGTATTTCTATAAAACCATTACACATTTTCATAAATTACATTTTTTTGTTTTTATCAGTATTCAATGCCCATTTGTTTTGAAAAATGTGGTGTATGTTGGTAGAAAAATGTCTAAATCTGTTTATTTTTATTGCACATGCAATATGGTGTGTCTGTTCTCTTCTATCGTTTACACTGGTGTTGTTTTTCAGAAAGGTGCCAATGAAATCAAATCAAAGCACGTACTCAAGGAAGGAATAACATTTACTTAAAAAGGCTTTCATTGAGCTACTGGAAAAATTGCAAGTGCAAAGCGTTATTCAACATGGCTGCAGCTATCTTTACATTGAGTAAAATATCGCCCTCACTCAGTCGCAGGAGGTGACAGCTCTCTGTTTTACTGTCCATAAACCTCCTCGTGCCTTGATCGCCCATTAACTGCTAATCAGAGAGCTGAGGAATTCCTCCTCTACCTGCTTGTGAAAGCTTTGGAACATTATCAAGACATCAGCAGACTTAAATGAGTCTGCGCTGGCTGCAGGAGAGCAGAGACTCACAGAGAGAGAGAGAGAGAGAGAGAGAGAGAGAGAGAGAGAGAGGGGGAGGGAGGAGAAATAGATAGTGTGGAAGAGGGAGGGGTTGCAGAGTGCAGCAATGCAAATCAGGGAGCAAATTAGGATTGTGTTGCCCTCATTGATCATCCATCAGATTTACACAATTTGGGCAGAGTGCTGGATGTTAGACTTGAACTGTGTGAGCGTCCTGTGGCCTGCGTGTGAGTCCGACTCCCTCTGGAGCTGCTCCATCCACATTTAGAGACAAGGGGAAGGGGATACAGGGAGGGTCAGACGCTCATGTCCTCACTCCAACAAATGCCACAACACTGTTTCAACCTGTTCCCTCGGCTAGACTAATCCCTCATGTGTGGAGGGACGGATGATCCTAAATGCGGATCTCAACCTCTGGAAGTATGCCAATTTTCTTGGGTTTCCTCTTGTGGGAGGGTTCAACAACTGAATTGCATATGTATTTAAAAATGTAGGCTTTTAAATATAGTCAAAGGGTGAGATGTTTTAATAATATAAGCTTTTTTTTAATTGGATTTTTTGATAATTATTTTTGGCGTTTTGCCTGTAGTGGACAGTGAAACTTGCAGGATATGTGAAGACGAAGGAAGATCGACATGCAGCAAAGGTCAAAGGATTGGAACTGGATTTTAAGGAGGACCTACTGCACTTCACAATTAATCCCCACACATCTTTTGAAATACAAATATAAAGGCCCCAGAGAGCTGCCCATGTTTGAAACCTGAAACCTTCCAAACATGGCAGTCAAAATGGGAAACCATTGCTGCATTGTTTCTCCTTAAAAATCTGCGCGTACTCTTTAAAGGATATTTGTAAAAACAGAGATGGAGAGATTATAAAACGTCTTCCTATATATCATTCTTTGCACCGTTCTCCAGTAAAATCATAAACATGACTGATTCGATTGTCTAAATGTTAAATTCAGCTCCAAGAGAGTGGAGTGGTTTCTTTAAAAAAAATTAAATAGCTTAAAAGCAACGACTTCACCTCTGGTTTCTAATATAATATACACAACTGTGAAGCTTCTTTTAGAGCATCATATGCCCAAATATCATCATGTCGTTCTTTGGGGAGAAGGGAACAGCCACCAAAATGCAATATACCTGAATCTGATTCAGCAATGCAGGGACACTGTACAAATGCAATCCGGCGCAGAAAACAGAACAATTGTATTCTTCCCCTGGCGGATGATGTACCTGTGAGGTAGAGGAGGAGTTTACCTGGCTGGTTGTGTTAATGACAGTGATGGTGTGTTTGTTTATCAGCCTCCTCTGGCTTGTCTGCAGGCTGCAGGGATCTGGTGGTTTCGCTACATTGTCTGGTGCCTTCATTTAGAGGTCCTCTTTTCCACTGCTTCAGCGGTCCACCGAGACTTCAGGCTGCTCTGTGTTCAAAAGCCTCCTCTGCCATCTAAATGAGGCTTTCAGGGCAAAAAAAAAGAGACAAAAAATTCAACATGAAACTACCACAATGTGCAGAAGATTAGCTCGCACTCGACTGGGATGTTTTGGGAATACGTTGGTTCTCCTTTTTGGATTGTTATTCCTCCCTAACTGCTATCTACCCACAGGGCACCGGGGCCTCTTGTTGGGCGGGGGGGGGGGGGTAAAAAAAAAGGCATGAAATTGACATTATATCCTTAAATGCGGCGCAGATTTGCAGGGAAAACACAGTAATCCACTGACAATGCTTGAAAACCAAACACGAACTCCTTCCCTTTTCCTCTCTCTTTTTTTCCCGTTCTCCTTAACAAGCCACAGTTTGCACTTCAGGTTAAATCTACTCACTAATTACTCGCATCTCCTTTGATGAAAGCAGTTTCTTCCTCAAGTTCCTTTAAGGATGCTATTGTTCTAACGGT